CTCTTTTTATTTTTTTTATTTTAAATGTACTTTTTATTGCATAAAACTTGGTGAGGCTTGAGCAAATTCCCATTCTGAAAATGCAGCCCAGAGAAAAAAAAATGTTTGGGAACCTCCGTTCTAATTGTAAAAGTACAGGCACAATTGAAATCTTAGTTTGATTAAGAGTTGTGCCAGTGATTCCATATGTTGCTATCCTTTCATCCTGTTGTTACTTTATTTCATGTGAGTCTAATGTTCATGTGAGATGAACTAAGCATTCAAAAAATAAACCTGCCCCAGGTTTTGTCACTGTTTTAGCTTAGGGACTAATAAATGCAAACCATTCTTATCTTTCAATCTTGACTGATTCAACAAACCAGTCTTGTCATAAAACACAAATTTAATAAAGAGAGGGACAAGTATTTGCTTAGCTTATATTATAAAAATATACTTCAAAGGACAACTGCAGTTTTAATAAGGAATAACATTTTAACATGTGGCACATACCCATTTATATGGTAATATAATTGTTTCCTTATAACGAAATATTCTGCATTCATTGGCTAAACAGCCAGTGCTACACTTTTCTTCACTCCCTGACCACTGGACTGCGATCAAAATGTAGTATCTGTTCTTATCTTTAATGGCAATGGCAATATTCACTTTTTCTTTATAATGAAATGTTTGACATTCATTGACCAAGTAGCCAGTGCTATTGTTGGTTGGAAATCTCTTTAATAAAACATTTTTTCAGAAAAATATGTTTCTCAACTCTAGTTACTGTTAAGCCTTTCCAGTATTGTTAGGGAAATTCTTTCTAACTTTTTCTTTGAAGTCCTGTGGAACATCATATTATTTTCTCTTTGAGTTACATTTGCTTTCCACTTTAGTTGTTGAGTCCTCAAGTGATATGGTTTCTGTTATTTTGCCCAGTTTTTGGTTATTCTATAGCACAGTCCACAAATTTTTTTTTTTTTCACAAAGGACAATCTTCACTGAAACCTAAATGCTTCATTTGCTGAAAGCCATTTTTAACCAGTCAGATAATGTTAATGTGGGTGAATCCATTTGTTTTCTAGTGCAGTGATTGCCACCACCTTTTTATATTATACAATGTACACACACTTGATTTTGTTTTCTTTTCCTTTTAATAATAGTTTTAGCACAAATAGCCAAACGCTCAACTCTCAAAGATGTTTCTCTTTTCTGAAATATACCAGTCCCCCACAGATGCATAAATAGTCATATTACGGTTAGATTATCTATGAACAAGATGTATTAATATATTATTAGTCTGAAGAAGTTCCTGTTAGGGATGGAAACATGACACACACACACATATATAATTCTGCTTGTAATGCAATCAGGGACATATTGATCTCTATAACTTTTGACTAAAAATAACAGGGTTGGCAAGTCTGAAAGTTGTTGGCAAAATAGAAAGATATTGTATTTGGCTGGCCAAGTAGAGTAGCCTTTTCATCAGTTTGGCTATGGCCATGAGAAGCACAAAAACTTCACTGATTTTCCTTTCTGTCTATTTAAAAAAAAAAAGAATCTGCCTGTCCCTTCCTTAGTTATTTCGTTAGCAAGTATGTTACATCCTGCCACTACCTCATGATTAATGAGCTATTCCATTTTGATCATGTGGAAAGCAAGCTGGAAAAGACAAGATGCTACTTGGTTTCAGTGAGAAAATGAAAGAAAACAAAGCTAGAAGTGTTTAAGGTCTGTTTCAGTGAAATGGAAAAATGTTGTCAATTTCAAATCTTTTCATTTGTACCTCCTTACTTCTTAAAATAACAACCAGTCTTCATATTTGATTGATATTCAATATGTTGTTAAATTTGTTAAGCTTAAATTTTTAACGATGTGATAGTGAAATTTCTACAGATATTTTATTGTCATAGACCTCACCATGAGTATATTCAATCATTAACTTAAGAATTAAGATTCATCAGAAATTTCAGATGGGAAAACTATAAAAATTGTTGTCATTTTTTTTTTTTTTTTCAGACTAACTGATCTTGTATAGGAATAGCAAAATATGAAGCTAAAATGAATGTTTTTCAAGAAACATGATTATCATTAAAGTTTGTTTTGTACATTCACGGGGTGGGTGATGATTGTATAATAAGGTCAATGGTCTCTTCCCTTGATTATTATGTGTGGGGTTCAGTTGAGTGAGAGATCAACAAAACTTCTTCTAACACTAAAGATAAACTGAAGGCAAGATTTATAGCAGCACTCAGCATCTTAAACAAGAAGAGTTGCAGGAGATTCTGAAGTCATCTGGTGCTTGTGGTTGAAGCCAATAGTCATTTTATTGAATATATTTACCCTTTAGTATTTCAAGATATTTTTGTGTAATTTTGGTAAACGTATCTGTTAAAATGAGATGTCTGTGTGATTTTTCACTTTTGTGTTATTTACATGAGTTTATCCATTGTACCGTGTAATATATATATATATATATATATATATATATATATATATATATATATATAGGGACCTCTAATAAGGTTTGAAATGATTTTTTTTTTTTATAAATGACAAAGCTTTCTTTTTAGCTTTAATTGAAAGCTAAATGATTAAATTTACTATTTCCAGTAAGCACAATATTCTGGTGCATTTCAAATAGAAATTATATTGACTGTAATCTCAACTTTATGCTCACTTTCACAAAGTGATTATCTCGGCCATTTTGTCACATTTGTAAACAAATTTTAATTCTTGGTTTTAAAAATCTGAAAAATAAAATATTTGTGAAACGTTATTTGAGGAAAATTAGCAAATTTAAATTAATCTGATTTGAAACAAATATTACTTGTAAAACATAATATACAAGCATTTCTTAACCATGGGGTCTTGTTTTTTGGACATCTTGATTGATGCATTGACAGGCTGACATGTTGACAGCTAAGTATGGTTGACCAGAATTGACATAAATTTATGAAATCTAAGGGAACACTTTGTTTTTGTTTAATTATCTTTTAATTTTTAGAAATTAACATATTTTCAGCAATTATCTAATAATATCTTTATAAGTCTTGTTTTGAAGATGCTTTCTGAAAAAAAAAATTTAAAATTTTAAAATACTATAAAATTTTCTTAAATCAATTTAAAAATTTAATAACTGAGATATTAATGAAATACCATGATAGAGGAAACTCAATAATTTATGAAATGTTATGGTATTTTATTTATTATTAATTTATATTTTTTTAATAACTTCCTTATTTTTCATTTTATTATTATTATTAATTGCTATGATGGCTATAAAATGTTAATGTCATTTTATTAAATTTTTTATTGTACTTTAAATTTTATTATTAATTGCATAATTGTTTACCCTTTTATTTTAATCCAATACCCTAAGCTATATATTAAAACTTTTTAGTCAAGTGAGAACAATTCTTAAAATACATGACCTGTTAATAATAATGTCATGTATGGAATACCATACTTAAAAAAAATTGGAATGTTTATACACTAAAAATAAAAAAAATTATTTAAAAAATCTTGGTGCAAAATGACTTTTATTAAGCTTTTCAATTTTTGATTTGTAAATATAGTTTCAACTTAACATCACCTAACTGGATTAAAGTAATGCAGAATTTTAAATGATTTAAATTATCAAAGATTTTAAAAACAAAATGAAATTTTTTCTTAATAAATCCTATTTATAAAAGCAATTAAAAGCTTTTCGATTTAAAAAAAAAAAAAAAAAAGTCATAGCTTTATTGCTTTTTTTATACTTCGGGAAATGAGTAGTAGTTTGAAACAAAAATGATTTATATTCTCCAAGGAGTGCTGCTCTTAACTAATAAAAAAAAAAAAAATCTAGGATTGAAATTTAATTTCTCAAAATTTCATGAAATTAAGTAAGTAAGGGATAACATATGTAAAAAAAAAAAAAAAAAATAATGTAATTCATTTGTGAAGAAGTCTGGAAAGTTTCATTAAAATCTGACAGTTACTTGATTTTTGCAAGAATTTCCAAATCAACGTGTTTTTCACTTGAAAAAAGAAAGACACTAAAACACTAATCATAAATATTATGTCGACCGCTGACATAAAATGAAAACAAGATTTTTAACAAAAATTTTGAATTAGAAAGGATTACAAGATTTAAAATAATCAAAAAATGGTCTTTCCACTTAATAATAGCATAAACATTTTGACAAATCCTTGTTATGTTTGGATCCTTTTTTCATCATGCTATGCTTGATTTTATCTTTTTTTTTTCTCAGTGACAAGTGAGGGTGTGTGTGTAATATATATATATATGATGTGTGTGTGTGTGTATATATATATATATATATATATATATATATATATATATATATATATATATACACACCATTCAGGTTGTTGCCCTCATCTTTATTGCTATAGCCCAGTGGATAAAAGTATTGGTTAAGTAATCCAAAAAGTGACTTGATCTAAAGAGTTGTGGGTTCAATACCTGGCCACAGTAGAAGGAACAAAAACTAAGAATCAGGTTACTAAGGGGAATTAACTGATACTGGGATATCTAAAAATGGCATGGCATGTGGAATTAGAACAATCTACCACCATGGAATAAATAAATAGTTTTGTTAAAAATTCCAGCATATAATCATATATTGGAACGTGCAATGGCCAAAACATAAATATGGCAATAAAGATTGACAAATGATGTAAATAGTTACGATATCTTATCTCAGAAATATACATACATACATACATACATACATGCATAGGGAGAAACTATACTTAGCCTACACATTTCGTTCTGAGGGATTTTATCAAGGTAATGATAAAGTGCCTCAGAGGACGAAACACATTGGCTAAGTACAGTTTTTCCTCATCTTTTTTTTATTCATTTTGTCTCTTGTACAGATACACTCTATCTGAGAGAATATATATATATATATATATATATATATATATATATATATATTATAAACTTTGTTTTGTTTTTCTTGTTATAATACCTTTTAAAATTAATTCATGTATTATTCTTTTCTCTCCAGGTGCACGCCTACATTATCAGCCAGCTCAAAAAAGAAATGCCCTCCGTGTTTGGTAAGGACACCAAAAAGAAGGAACTAATCCACCGATTAGGATCAATCTATGAACAGCTGCAGAGAGAACACCAAATCTCCCCCGGAGACTTTCCAAACCTGAAGCGCATGCAAGAGCAGCTCCAGCATCATGATTTCAACAAGTTTCACCCACTCAAACCAAAACTCTTGGAGGTTGTTGACCAGATGTTGGCTGAAGACATTGCCAAGCTTATGCAAATCATACCACTTGAGGATTCAGTTGGATCATCCGAAGAGCTTGACAGCAGTGCTAACACCGTGAAAGGTGGAGCCTTTGAAGGTTACAATGACAGTCCATTTGGCTATGGACGTGGTGAAGGTGTTGATCAGGGCCGGGGTGAAACAGAATGGATTGTTGCCCGGGAGCGCTATGACTATGATGACATCTTTGACACATTAAATCCAATAGATGGTAAGATCACTGGAAGCAGTGCTAAGAAAGAAATGGTCAAGTCAAAGCTGCCAAATTCAGTTTTGGGGAAGATTTGGAAGCTGGCCGATGTTGATAAGGATGGCATGCTAGATTCGGATGAATGGGCGTTGGCTAACCATCTCATTAAAATAAAACTGGAAGGACATGACTTGCCCACAGAATTACCAGACCATCTTGTGCCCCCATCAAAACGATAGTTGGTTTAAATTTGCTGGAATAAGTCCAGGGGGTTTCTACAATTTTTTTTCTTTCTCACTAAACTGGCTTGAAAATTAATTAAATAAAAAGAGGAAAAAAAATGGAAGAATACTAAGGTGTAAAACAAATAATTTTAAAGGACTTCATTTAAAAAGAAAAAAAGCAAAATTGAAATGTTAAGTGTCTTATCAAAAAGAAAAATTACAAACCCAATGAAAAAAAAAAATATTAAAATATATTAAAAAAACATTAAAAAAAAACAAAAAAAAACCCTCCCTGAAGAAAAAAAAACAAAAAATGCACAGATATTTTTAATAACTCAGGACTTTAAAAAAGAAAAAAAAAAAAAACTTTTTTTTTTTTTTTTATTATTATTATTATTTTTTTTTTTTTTTTTTTTTTTTTTAATATTAATAAAATTATATCAGGGTTGGCATTTCCAATATTGAGGGTACTACTAAATATTTGAATGAATTATTTTTTTTTTTATAATTCGTCTTAATACTTGATATTTTTCATTTCTTTTCTAGTCGTTACATCTAAACATTGATTTTTTTTTTTTTTTTTTTTTTTTTTTTTTTTTTTTTTGTTTTCTTGATTTTGATTTTCTTTCCCCTTTCACGTCTGTTTTTGATGCAGAAAGATTAAAAAAGAAAAAGCAGTACAAAGGTGCATCTGAAATAACATTTAAGAAGAAAACATTTTTTTTTCTTGTTTCTATGAATGCTGGATATCAGTCACAATTCTAGTTCAATGTGCAATATATTGGTTGTTTCATGAATGTTATGAAAAAAACAAAAAAAAACAAAAAACCTTGATTATTCCAATACTGTTGTATTTCTGGCCATTTAGCATAAAAGAAAAAAATTCCTTTGTAAATATAAAAAAAAAAATCTTATTTTTATTACAATTTTCAAATGTGCTTATTTGTTTTCAGTGTTTATTATATGCATGGAATATGGTTGGTTCGTAAATAGAAATATTCTTGCTTTAAAATCCATTGTATACTCTAGCAAGCTGCTTTCATTCAGTTGAATACCCCCCTCCCCCAAAATAAAATAATATTTATTTCTTTTGTTACCAGTAATTACTTTCCATACAAGATTTGGTCAGGTGAGGTGAGATTCTTTCTTGTTAAAATTGGCCAAAATTACTATGGCCTAAAATTATGATTAGTTATACTGTTGTACCTGTGTTTCACATTTCTAAAACTCAGAACAGCTTATGGCTACATCACATTGAAACATTGGTTCCTGTATGATCACCAGATACCAGATGCTCTATGCTTGGATGTGCAGGTGGCATAATGGATAATGGCTCAGGATTGTCAATTGGAGAGCAGAGTTCCAATTCTCATTGGATTTGTTATATTCACTTATCTGCAAATGCCTTTGGAAAAGGTTTGAATCCACCTTTTCTCTCTCCAGCTGTCGTTTAATTATTAAGATTTGTATTCCTAAACCATTGTTATCTCTTAAAGAAAAATTCTTATAATCTACAAATATTTTCTGGCTTTAAATAACCTGCAAAAAGGGGTTGATAGGCCATAAAAAACAAATCCACCAAAAGTCAAAATTCCTTGCAACTTCTGAGTTTTAGAAGTATGAGGCACAGGAATAAATATATCAAAATTAAGAGTATTAAATATTTGCAATCAGAGCATTAAACTTTTAAAAGATTAAAGATTTAGTGCTAAGAATTTACATAAATTAAATTTTAGAAATTGTGCATAAAAGGAATAAAAATGATGGGATACTTATAATTTATGATGATTGAAATTTTGTTTCATTTGAAATATGCCTTAAAACTATTAAATTTTTATCTGTAGAAGTCCTCTTAATAAACTTGGAGGTAGGATTTAAAAAAAAAATTTTTTTTCCTGGATCTAAGTGATTTTGAGAAAAATAGTACTTCTGAATTTATAGGAGCGTCATATATCTTTGAAGTGAGTATATTTATTTTCTTAGCCTTATTTATATAAGGGCAATATCATCAAGGTTTGGTATCATGGTGGAGAAGTTGTTCCATTTGTGTCTTGAAAGATACAATTAATAAAATATTTCCCATGGATGTCTGTATGCACCAATCAGGCAACAGTATAAATAGATACAAAATAAAATAACCAATAACAATGTTGGGAACATTTAAGATGGCAGCTCTTGTGATCAAAAAAGATGTTATTCAACACTGGCAGGATCAGTGCAGCCCAGATATTTGTTACAGGCATCAGGGACTAAAATGTTTGGGAGTTAAATTGCTGATACAACTGGAATGTTTGATATCATGTTTTTGTATTGCCAAAAACAAAGCAGACAAAATTAACTGTAACAACTGTTAATAAATGACTTGGTCATTCTGCACCACCTTCAATTCTAAGATGAATTCGGTAGCAGATCATTATTGAATTTAAAAAAAAATCCAAGATTTAGTCTGAAACTTTGATATAAATTTTTAAATAATATTTTGGATTTAGATTTTATTAGTATTTAGTTGGATTATTATTTAGTATGTATCATATTTCCTGTATTCAAAGATGCATTTCACTCGCTCCTGAAAACTGCCCTCAAAAATCACCCTATGTCTTAGCACTGAAAGGTCAAGTTGTAGAGAGGAGTGTGCGAATCCCCACAAACCCCAGCCATATAATATAAGCCTACAATTATGATTCGTGTGTAATGAATACTGTACATCCTGTTAGTATCCTACCATATATATTGTTCTTTTCCAGTAGTGATGATAATCAGTAGTTTGCTTCATAGCAGTATTTTAAGTCTTTTGTCCATTTAGACATACCATACAGTATCTTCACAAACCCCAGTCATGTAATACTTGCTGACAATTACATTTCATATGTACACTAAGAATACCACCAGCCTTATTACTGCACTTTGTATGCTATTAGCTCAGTAGGTATACCGTTAATTCTAAATGTACTGTTGATTCCTAATACCTACTATCCACCATCTTTGTTTATGGTAGATGGATTTATTGTATTCCCTGCTTTTACTAATTTAGGTAATGTTAGTTACTATAATGATACAAATGAATAGTCGATAATATATTCATATAGTAATAATGGACTGTAGTTGTCACGATGCAAAAGTAAGACAACATTTGTACACTTGAATACAACCCGAAAACATCAACTCAGAGTTGTATGTAAACATGCTGTGTGTTGAGACAGCTTGTGGTGGAAAGTATGAGTTGTTTCTGATGTAAATATGTATAACATTGTGCAAAAATATTAAAAATCTGATTAATAATGACCCCAAATATTTAATAATACAATAAGTTCAAAATGTGCAATTTGTTGTGACAGAAAAATGACACTGTAAAGAAAGTGGCTTGGACTTGCTAACAGGATAAGCTATGAAATCCTCATATATTTTTTTCCCCTGAAAAATACCTAGCTAATTATAGGGTGTGTCTTCTTTTAGTATATGGGAAATACGGTACCTACACAATTAAAATAGTTTACCATCCCATTGTTTGGAATTTGTCTTGTGTTAGATTTTAATCTTTTTGGCCTTTCATCTACACCATTCTTTTTCTAACCTCTGTTTTGCTTTGCCCATATGTTATTAAGTTTTTTCAAATTTGAAATTATGAAACTGATAATAATCACAACAGGCCAAAGCAACTTGATATTAATCCAATTTCATATTGATGAGACAAAGTGAATTTGATAAAGTCTTTTGCTACTTACAAATTTACATTATTCAGACTATATCTTTGTTGCTATATTTAATTTGATGTTTTGGCCATTGTACATTCTAGCCTTCTTAAGGTAGTTGGAATGTCGAACTGAACCCTTTATTTCGTTCACTGGGGTAGACTGTTCTAGTTCCACATGCCGTGTCTAATGGATGTCAGTTATTTCCTGCTTAATTCCCTCTCCAAGTTCTCCACCACCTTAACCAAGATTGAACTCACATTCTTTGGGTCCTGTCACTGGATCTAACCAATGCCTTTATCCACTGTGCCATGTGTCAAGTAGTTTTAAGATAGAAACATCTTTCTAATTTTCGTTGTTACAGCAGAGCAGAAAACATGGGGAAAGTCAGCATGCATCTCGGCTATCACTTGTTTGAACTGTTACCCCCAGGGTGACATTTTTAATTCTAGAACAAATCTCTTGAGAGACAACTTTTATTCTTGTCTCCTGCAGAATATAAATGCTGCCGCACACTGACAATTTTCAACTTGTATAACTTTTTATTTGATGATGTGTGTTTGTTTTCGTCTGTGTTATGTGCATTTTTTTTCTCTCTCCTCTCCCTTTGTGCACCTGTTGACTGCTGTTCAATTTCATTGTGTATTACACAAGGTCATATTTGAGAGCATTCTTTTAGTTTTTGGTGAGTTTGTGGAGACCGTAGAAATCCTTGTGAGCATAAAATGTGTCTGGTTATAAACCAATTTCATTTGTGACACACCTAAAGGGAAGAAAAACAAAATCAAAACTTTTTTTTTTTTTTTTTTTGAATCTGTATTTACTTCCCCACTCAGATACTGTTAGTTATTATCAACGAATTAAGAAAAACCCATCAGCCTAGAGTGATAAGGGGAAGCATTGAAAATCTTAGTTTTTAGCTAAGCTTGACCGTTGACACAAGTATAAGAAATATGCCTTTCTTTTTATGTGCCATCTCCTTTCAGGACGTAGGCAATCATGGCTCTCCACTTCCTCTAACCCTTGCAGCTCTCAACAAGTTCCTTCTCTCTGACACCTCCCCCAGACCACGTTCTGTCATCCACTTGCTTAAGCCTGCTAGGTATGTCATGCATTGTTTTCCCTAGTCTCTCTTTCCCTCTATTTGACCCGTGCGTATCAGATTCTCCAGGCCCTCCTTCCTCATTATGTGTACCAGAAACTTCAGCCGCCTCTTCCTGATGTTAACTACAAGCCTCTTCTCTAAGGCCTCATGGTTGCTCACACGCTCGGTCCATAATATCCTCAGCATCCTACTGTAGAACCACATTTCTGTCGCCTCTTTAT